CTGTAACTTCCTGCTATATCCACTTAAAAGTGCAAATTCAGAGTCTTTGAGAATGTTCACTGGAGCCCCGTGTGTTTTCTGTGTTCGACACGTGGAGCAACGTGAACATCTGACCGAAGTGTATCTACGGTAGGATGAAGAGAACGCGACTGATGTCCACTGTGAAAGTCTGCCTCGGTCTGTGCACACAGAAGGAAAGCATTAATTGGCGTTAACTCCCAGCAAGAAAGAGCCTCAGTGTATTCCTCAAAATGTCAAACAGAGAGTTATTAGGCCTCATTAGCCGTCTCTCTTTGAACTTTGAAAAACTTTGGGAAACAATATGGAAAAGGAAGCGGATGTAAAAAAAAAAACACTTTGGTTACAGTCAGCGATGGTTAAATTTAGCCATTTAACCAACTAAAGATCCTCTGAACACAGGCTCTTTCATGTATACCAGTGTCGCACCAGTGGGAGATGATATTTTGCGTATAAAGGAGCTTTAGTTCTCAGAGGAAATAGCTCAGCAAACACATCCTGATTTGATAGTGACACGCTGTTTCTTCCGACTCTTCAGTCTCTGCCATTGTTACACAAGGTGTCATCTCACTGTTCAATCATTCCCTTTCAGCCGTCACCTGCCTCCTTCCACCTTCATCTTCTGGCTCGGCGCTGACACAAGTTGAACTTGAGCGTCTCCAGGTTTGACAGTTTCTACATTTTTTTTTACTTTTGCACCGAGCTGTTACTCTGCATGGCTTGAATTAGTCCTACCAGTAGGCTTGCTTCTGACCGCTCTCATCCAGGTTTTCCAGAGTTTTTTTTAGGGTTTTTTTTTTTTCTCCTCCTTCTCTGTGAATAACAGTCATCACCGACTGCAGTGCGCCAAATCTCAGGAGGCTGTCACTCCGTGGAACAGCGTGTCTGGCACTGACAACCACACTACATCTAAAGTCACTTAAACCACACCTCTCTGCCATTCTAACATTTAGTCGAACAGCAGCTGAACGTCTCATCCCTGTCTGTGTGCATTATGCTTCTGCTTTATTTATACGTGACTCACTGTCTGGAGGAGTGAGCTGTGAGGGAGACGTGTAGCCAAGAAAGTGGATACCGACAGTGTTGATTTGAGAACTTAAATTTATGCAATTATGTCTGCTTGAGACAGGTTTGGACAAACTGTACCGACTGCTTACCTTGGAATATGGCAGCGTTCTGGATGATGAGGCGCTTGAGTTGCGCGCTGACAACCTGCAGGCCAGACTCCATGTTGCTGCGTGCGGCTACCTGATACCGCTCCTCCATCTTCTTGGAACAGCAGGTCGGGCCTTTGGTTTGGCAAACCTGCAGATCCGCACCTGGCAGGAAATCAGCAAAGACAACACGCTAGTCTGGATGTGCAGAGGGAAGGAGCAGCGGAGCCACCGTTGTTTAATTTTCAAAAAAAAACAAAAAAAACGGGAGCCCGAGCAGCATCCTCTGCATGCTAAGCACAGGAAACACGATCTGCGGCAGATTCTGTAGCCTTAATGAGCGTTTGATTATTGCGTAGAGGCTGTGTTATCTAGAGGGGTTGAAGTCAAAAATAAATTGCTGCTTAAAACATGAGTCATTTTGATGCACATTCAAGCAATACACCAAGGCTGTGTAGTTCTCCTCGGAGATCAATTTGGTCAACAGAAACTTTTCCGAGGCTACACTTTTCACTCCCGAGGATCAAAATAAAAAGATTTTTTTTTATTTTAGCCACAAAGATGAGAGCTGGGAGCAGTGCAGCAGGCAGACAAACAAACCTAGCTTTCAGCACGCTTTCATTATGTATGGCATGAAAAAAAAACAGCAACAACACAGCCACGAGTTGGATTGAAGGCTATGAAACAAACATTTGTGCTACCTGGCTGCAGACACTAAAGGTTTGTTTACCCAGATGAGAAATAATTGGATTCCCGGAGCTCTTCTGAAAAGGTGCAGATTTGAGCCAGGCAAAGCAAACCCGGGGTGACGGGGGGATGTTTCACCGGAGCGACGTCGCCGTTCGCAACCTGATCAAAGAGCAAGTGCCCCGAAGAAATTAGTTCAATGAGTCACGGAGATAAATACCAAGCAGTTAGAATTTGTTCTGATCAAGGATAGAGACGAGGCCTCGGCTGCGACATTTGCTGTGACGATGCACCGAAGGACACGTTCTACAAAAAGCCTTTCTTTATTCATTTTTATTACACGCCTCCGCTTTCACAGTGTCGCGCTGTAAGAACTAGAAAATCTATTCAAAAAGGCCCGGTTCAAATTTTACACCTTTGTGGCGGCCCCACAAAAAAACAGGAAACAACACGACTTTCCGGTGTCGCGAAAGAAAACGACAGACGCGTTTTCTATACACGACAAGCTATAAATTTACACCTTCCTCCCAGAGCTTTCCTTTAAAATGACGCTGACACAAATAGGGCACAAACATCCGATGTTTAAATACAAAGCGGGGTTCCTGTGAAAAACCCTCCTCCCCGGTGCTTTTCCTCTCCCAGCCTTCCTCGTCCCACACGGCTGCTGCGAGCTCGGCGGAGGCTGTAGAGTCGCAACGTCAACGAGGAGTTGAGGCGTCGGTGACAAGGGCCTGATTGATGGCGTGGTAAACAAATGTCAGGGGAGTCTGTCGGCTTCGGCTGCTCGGGGTGCGCCGGATAAAAAGATGGAAGCGGAGAGATTAATTTGGAAGAGGGGGTCTGGTATTGTGAGTGCATCGGAACTGTCTTGATAGCTAACGCGTCAAAAAGGCTTTTGTCGAGTCGGAGGGTTTATCTTAATAACAAAAGTGAGTATCTCTGAGGCTTTGTCTCTTTGAGATTTTCGAACAATGGATGCTCGGAAACAGAGCCGAGGCCGTGACAGTGGAAGTTAAACTCGCAGGAGATGCAACAGAGTGACAGCCTCGATAATTAATAAGTGCTGTGGAATGGTGCTCCCTCCCATCAGAGTTTAAGGTGTTTGGTCTAATGAGCGAAAGAGGCAATAAAGCTGTCACACGGCGCCTTTTGTATGCATACTGACAGGGCTTAATATCTTAAATCAATACCGACAAAAGACTCCTGACAGATAAGATCAAGTTAATTTTGAGCTGCAGGGGCAAAATTATTGAGCTGTCAATAGCCCCGCAGGTGAGGCGAGCGCGGCCGGAGCAGAGAAAGAGACGAGGATTTAGCAATTATCTCCGGCAAAACAGACAGATTCATCTGCACGTTTGTCGTTTTGCAGATGATAAATGTGTTTCATTACAGAAGTTCCACAGCGCTGAGGAATAAGTGAAGGATTCGGAATGGAAATGATTCCCCGTAGAGTTTCACGAATAATAAAATCACGTCGTCTAAATAAAGCCTTCTCTCTGGCTGACAGATCACTTGGGAATAAGCTTCCTCCTTCTCCTCTTTGCTTTAGGCTCAGCTGCATCTCTCCTCCCCTTTTCCCATCTCGTTCCTCTTTCATCCGTTTTGTTCCGAGCTCGTTTCTCTTCGCCTACCTCGAGCTTAATAGCCATTGGGCACCGAGAGCGACTTTCTATCGGCCCGTTATTGGTTAATTAGTCGATTTTTGTGTCCTGATGGCCAATTCTCTCAAACTAAATGAAGAAAGACAAGGTGCAAGGCTAGGGGCAATTTAGATGTAAATTTCCTCACTACACAACCTCAGTTCAAGGTGACGCCTTTAAATTATTACATACTTTCAATCAATACTCTGAAAGGGGAGACATGCAGAACAGCTGCCGTTTTTATACCAGTCTTTGAATGCCTTTTACAAACACATTGATCGCCCTTCGGCTCGTCACAACCTTGATATTGAAGCATCTATTCTGCTCGTAACTACTCCTGGATGAATGTAGACAAAAATGAAATTTCCCAACACGACGGCAGCATTTTTGGCGGCAAAATATTCACTCTGAAAGAAATACCACCACAAACCAAACAAGTTCTAACAGCTTTACTTTCTCTCAGCTCTTTCTTTTTTTGGACCAAATCCAACAGTTTACCAAGTGTTCGACCTGAAGCATGTTTTTGCTTTACTCTAAAGATGTTAAGTGATAAAATAACGTGTTTATTAGGAACACCTGAGAAATCTCTGGGTTATTCTGTATCAACTCGTCTCGCCTTTTCTCTTCATGTCTTGGATTTTATTTTTTAAAAATTAATGCGAAAACTTTTGCTCAATTCATTGGGGCCTTGCAAAATCCTTGAGCTCCGCTCCAAATACTCTTTGAATCTATGAATTTTGGCCCTTGAGGCTGTGTTTAATTATTTTCGTGATCCTTTCTAAACCTCACAGATTGCTTATTTTTCACTGGATGGGAGAGAAATTTGTGCTAAACAGTTCTGAAGCCCTGAGGATGACTGGCATAATGGTTGCATCAAGGTTTACAGTAATACTTATTAAACAAAATTAATGTCTCCACTAGTTTGTACTTGAGCGCAACCACATTTTGCAACATATAAACTGAGAGAGATGGCCATTGATCTGCACCTTCAAAGCTAAAAACCCTCTTTTAAAAGGTATTGTGACTGTATATTTTCCCAATTAGGAGAATTTCTTTGTGGAAAAGTGTTAATTTTTATTGTGCTTACATAAAAAAAAAATAAAGATCATTTAATAATTGTTTGAAAATAGCTCATTTTTCATGGTTTCCACTTGTAATATTGTTATCCATGGTTTTATTTCATGTCGCTATGTTTACTGCATAAACAGAAACATGCAATATAAAGAAAACGCTGCATATCCAGTCACACAACAGAAGTCCTACTGGCCTCTAGGGGCAGTAGTGAGCTTTTCACCTGAGAAGCAAACAACGGTGAGGGAGACAAGTGACGTTAGTTGAGGGAAAAGTTGTATGAAAAGGTGTGTATTCTCTCGTCTACCAGGATAAACATTAATAACAGCGAGAACACAGGGAGGCGGTGGTAAACCACCATTTCAGCATCGATATATTCACAGTAACTGAAAAGCTAAAGACCTAAAACTGCCCCTAGAGGCCTGGGGCACTTGTGTGACTGGATATGCAGCGTTTTTCTTTTTGCAGTTCGTTTCTGAATATGCACATCATTTGCCCACGTCGGCCACCGTACAAACCGAACAAGAAAGCAAGTGAAAGCTACGGGAACTGGCTTGAATTTGGTGCCAGCCTCAAGTGGACTTTCGAGGAACTGCAGTTTTTGGCACTTCAGTTTGCTTTATGTTTTTTCCCTCGGATGTTGCTGCTTGATTGTTATACTGACTAAAAATAGAAATTTCTCTGAGTTTGAACATCGTTGCAAACTTCAGGGATGTTATACACAAGACAACAAAATATACATGTGACTTGTGACTTATCGTAACATGCTGCTGGTGCAATTCTCACATTTTCACAAAATCCTCCAGAATCAAAAAAAGAAAAATCTCACTATTCAATTTTTTTTTTAACCAGAGTTCTACTAAAGACAAATAACATCACATCAATAAAATCAATATTTGAGGTTCAGAGGGTTAAATCACGACATACCTTCAATCAATACTCTGAAAAAAGGCCACACAGTCCAGCGGCTGCTCTATTTCAGGCTTCTAACGCCTTCTGAAAACACACTGATGAACCTTCCAGTTCGCCGCAGCCTTATCTGACCATCCCTCTGCTGCTTCTCCCGTGACAGAAAAGTTTCTTTAGAGAGGACACTGTTGGGAACTCCAGCAGGGCCTCGTGTCTCAGTCTTGTGTACATACAGACGAGATCAGTCCCTCTCCTCACATCTTTAACAAGCTCGGGGACTCCAAGTCGAGGCAGCCACAAATACACTATGTGTCTAAGTTTCCCTGCACCAATTAGAAAGCTATCACTATGCAAGTTTAATGACGGAGACCATGGGGGAAAAACAAGTTGTATTAAGATATAGAATATGCTAAAAGCTGTTCATTATGAGCATAAATTATACAACAACTACCCGTGTTGAGTGGAAGCATGTGGGAATCCATGGCTACCTCTCCAGGGCAAAATAAGCTGGTGTCACTTTGTAGAGACAATAAGTGAAATAAAGAAAGAGCAATTTACAGCCAACCCAAGGAATAAAAATATCATTAGCTACTGGGGATTACAGTTGTTTTAAGTATTTTTAGCGCCTTGCTCACTGCTCTACTTTAAGCCATTTGATGAAGCAATAATCTGAAAGCTGGAAGCATGACTGTGAAATTTTTTCTCTTTTTTTCGTAAGTGTACACAAAACAATGAGGCAGTAAACAAAAGTCCCCTTCATTAAAATGGGATTCTTCAAAAAGGGGAAGAACAAGCACCAACTAAACACACTCGGGTGTAAAATTAGGCCCAAAGAGCTCTCGCTTCAGGTCAGATTGA